ACCGTCACAGGTACCTGCCGCCTGCAGCAGACGCACCGCACCTGCCTGCACCTGCCTCACACCTGCCCACCAAAACGACTTCGCCGGGCAGGTGCGAAGTGACAGATGCTCCGTCCTGCCATCATCAACAAAATCAAGAGAATTTTACTACGCACAAATGGAAATGCATCCAAAATTGAAATTTTCTTCTCTTCCGTAGACATTCGTAAAGCATCATTTAATCACCGGTCAACAAGTGCCGCGATATCCACAAAGCTTTCCCGCCGTCGTGCATCCCATTTGTTCCATCTCATCCCATTTGCTCGCCGTCACACCCTCCACCACCACCACAAACCATCCCAACTGCCTCCAGCGCACCTCAGCCAAGCAACTCATCGACCCCGTCCACCTCTCGGCATCAGAGTCAAGCCTTGGCTCTTGCTTGACGTTGCGTCTTGGTATTTCTCGAGTCGGCATCCGAAGCGTATCTCGTCGTCTTTACAGTGTGATCGGCATCCGTCTCTCACTGTTTTTCTTCGCCTTCAACCTCGCCGTCACTCACTCCGCACACCGTACACATACGGACGCCTTCTTTTTCTCCAAGACCACCACTCTGGCCCTGACACTCTCCGATCCGAGAGATATTACCTTATTACGGCCGATCTCTCGACTTTGAAGAATCAACCGGCATCCTTCTTCATCCTCGCACCGCCTTCACCTTCACTCCTCGCCATTCGCCGCTCTCCAGTTTTCTCGCCCTCGCCATCGTATCGACGACGGCTGCATGAATCTTCTTGGCGCCACTCTCTCCCCAACCACTTGATCGACCCCGACTGATACCCACGATGATAACCACCTGAGGGAGCCTGGGTCCACGGAATATACAAGATACAAGCTCGGCGGAGTCCATCAACCACCCCCAATTCTCCATCTCCATCTCCAAAAAGCGAGAACGCGAGGGCCACCCGGGCAGAAAAAAAACGAGTCGTCAGCTTTCTTCCATTGTGGGAGGAATCACCACACGCAGTGGCCAGACCGCTGTGGAGGCAATCCGAGCAGCAGGACCAGGTCCGAGGGAATTAAACCCGCCCGATCACACTGAGGAGACCGAGAAGGGCGGCACGGAGGCGGCACAGAACCGCACAACCGCAAACCACACCGCAAACCCAACCCAAATCAACCCAAACCGCGCCATCTGGATCACTCGGCACGCCAGACCCTGGGAGGCAATCATACCGCCTGAGCCTATCGATTTTAGCTTATTCCCGTGGGAGCCCCAATACTTCCTGTCATCAATCCGTGCCGTTGGCCCTTCCGAATACCCGCAGTCCACCACGTACTACCGACTGTGGCGGCGGCTCCTAGTCCCTAGTCTCTACGAAGCAGTAGACAGCTGAAAATTCAATCTACCCGGCAACTTCAAGCGTACAAGTGTGGTCCACCGTCACCCTCACTCTCACCGGCCGAGGCACTGGAGACTGAGCAGGCAACACGCAAAAAATAAGGGAGGCATACCTGCACGCGCTTAATTAACAACGACCCTCGACTTACGTACGCCGGTACCCTCGTCGTCATCGTCAGCCTCACCATCCCGACGCCGGTCTTGTATCCGTCAGGTAGAGACCCCATTCTCTTCCCCGGCGCCATATCCCCAAAAAAAGAACTGACCAGTCCGACTGGCTGGTATATCGTCCGAGGTAGGTAAAGCCACACGCGCTACACCATGCTTTCTACACAAGACACTGCATAGTTCGTCTTCGCCGTGCCCCCTCCCTCCTCTCCTCTCCGCTGCCGAAAACCTCCCGCATCCCGAAGACGTACGCAGCCCTCTCCCCATCCGCGGCCCAGCCTGGCTCTCCCCTGAACCGTCATCACATCGCGCCCTACAGATGCCGCCGCCTCAAAGAAACAAGCTCATTCAGGCCGCGGGAAAGTCGGGGCTTGTGTTTGGAGACGGGCGGCCACGACGACGACGAGTCGACGGCGAGGTCCAGAGGGAGATCCCCCATCTTCACGTTACCCACCTCCCACATCCCGATATCAATGTCGACGCAGCACTCATCGATCCAGACTCTCTCTGAGCCTCCAACCGATGGCATACCCAAGTCCCATTCTCACCTTAATTTTTCCCGCAGTCAATCATTGCCCTCTGCATATTCTCCGTTCCCACATATTACCGTTAACATCGTACTCCCCCAAATCGTCCCAAACTGCGCCCGTCTGGCGTCGTCATCCCTCCCGTCCACACTCCCCTACGCTACTGTCGACCCGTCACTTCACTTGCACAAGTGTCCTTTAAACTTGACTACTGTGGAGCTCCGGAAATCCCTAACTCTACTCTACGCAGTAATACTCCCGTCCCTTCGGCCTTTTTGACGACTCCGTCCAACCAGCTAGTCCACCGGCCACCCGTCTGAAAGCTTGTCACCACTACAGATACCACCCACCGGCCAACCAACCAACGAACCAACGGACCAACCCAAATCTACCGCAGACAAACCAAAAATCCGCAAAGCAACAGCCAACGGCTTGTCTGCCGCGTAAACCCAACCGGCCTGTGTCCGTACGGTACCGTCGAGGGAGGTCGAGGTCGAGGTCACATCCCAGACACGGTCCAGCAGGGAACCCAAAAGCGGCATTGCGCACCCAACCTTTTCTGTCCTATGTCCCCGATCCGCTGGACTCTGACTTGCGGCGGTATCCCTGAAAACCGTTAACTTTGTGGCCCCGTCACCTTGGGCCGTCACCTTGCCCCAGAGGCCCAGAGGAGCCAAAGAACCGCCGGCCGACAAACTCGCTCTTTCGGCACTGGATCAAGCATAAAGAAGCCCACGCAATCGGAAGCTCCTGGCTCGCCGCAGCCAATCTCATCTCAACCACACGTACGCATACCTAGGGCCTTGTCGTTCATCTCCCGGCTCTTATAACAAGTGTCAAGATACCCCGTTTTCAATTCCGCGACTTGACGCCCATCAAAATCGACCTTGTGTGCCGGACTTTGGACGACGATCCGACACACGACATTGACGCACGCATCCACCCGCACCCACATCGCCGCCGACGCCGCCGCCATCATCGTGGTCACCATTCCGCACCGCGAGTCTCCAGTCCCCATCGAGCCTCACCGGCAGGCACTAGATTCAGAACGGCATTCTCCATTCTCGTTTTTTTATTCCCTCTCACCAAAAAGGTACGTACGAGCTCGTTGTTTCATTCATGAATTACCAATCCATCGTCGTCGTACTCCATCTCGGCCCCTCTTCCCTCGGTTTGTTCAAGCTTCGTCGTCCATCAGGCGCATTGTCTCCTTGTTTGAGTACCTGCGTCACGTCACGTCTGTCTTCCTCGACCGTCTCCAGTGTCACCCTCCCGTCTTGTCAGCCATCTTGAGCGACTTTGGGGGCCACGACAGCCTTGCAGGGGCTAGACGGCACTTGGATCTGATGCACCAGCGTCGCATGGCGCCAGGCGAGAGACGGAGAGGTAGACTTTCAGTCACCGTGATGAGTTCAGTACACTCGGGACCAGTCGTCCCAAGACTTCGCACGAGGGAGCTGTCAAGAGCAGATCATACGCTGAGCGATGTGCTCCTCCCCCGGTGCTTATCGGCTCGGGTCAGCATCACTCAGCACATTAAGCAGCGCACATCTCCCATATCTCCGACGGCTTGATCGTCGTCCCAAGTCTTCAGAGAGTTGTCTGCTTCTCTGCGTTCATGCACATCGCCTTTTTTCCCATGGTCGGCCCAGTGCGACTCGGCCATCGGTCATCTCGGCCTCTCTACACAAGCCGCTCAGGGATGGTCCAAGAGGCAATTTTAGTCGAGAGTTAATCCCCCCCTCGTCCCCGTCATCTTCTTCAGTGGATCGGCTGTGACGGCGCAAGTGCATGTGCAAGTGTGTGTGTGTGCGCGCAGGGTGATTCCAGAAGGAATTTTGGGTCACTCGGGTCACCTCCTCTTCGACTTGGCGAGTGGAGGAGAGAGTCCAAAGTCCAAAAGTCACTTGTCAGCCACGCCCCCCCTTCTCCTCCTCCTCCTCCCCCTTCGTCTTCACACGCCCCTATTCGCACACGCCCTTCTTCTTCCCCCTGCCCCTCCTGTCTACCCTGGTACCCTCCCTTACCCAGACTCCCCTGTCGGTAAAAGCTTGGCCTGCCTGGGGGGTGCGACTGCTAGTGTGGGCTTGCGCGTGTTGTATCAGGATATATATGGTACAGGTGCTGCTCCAGCCCAGTCAGACAGCTTCGACTCATACCCGGCACGTCTCGCAAGCCTGCTGCAAGCGCTCTTCACCATCTTCAACATCCCATTCCCTTCGTCGAGATCCACCCTTTCGAAGCTTGACGTGCGACTCAATGCGCCTCAACCCATCTCTTTGTCGTGCTGTGAATAAGCTTCTGTCATCACCTCTCATCACCACCCGCGAAACACCTTCGTCCTATCGTCGAGAGCCTCGTCTTCGCCCTCACACGCCGAACCGAACCTGAGGAGCTAACCCACCTCGCTTTGCGTCATCTAGCCTACGCAACCTCCGTTTCTCCACGAAGCTGTTTGTCGGCAACTCATCCGCGGCGCCCACCTCACCACCGCTGCAAACGCTTCCCAAAGCGATCACCAGACGGCAAGCTTGGGCCGTCGACCAACCCGACGAGACGTCTCACTTTGAACCTGCCTTGACAATCTCTTGGCGTGACGGACGACACCTTTTTCCTCGGGACAAAAGGGTTTTAACCATAGCAACGGCTTAACTCTGTTCTCTGCCCGCGGATTACCCGGTGCTCCCATAAGGCGCACCTTGTCAGGGATCATTTTGGCTCAAGGGCAACTTGTGCCGATTCCAATTCGAACTATCCCTGCCCCAAACGAACCCAGTGGGGCCGCCGTGGAGGACCACCGGAAGGTTACTTTCGGACAATCTCTCGTCTTAAAAGGTTCCCTCCAGCCATCACCTCCCATCATCGAAGGTTCTTGGTAGCCTTATTTTCTTTTCTTCACTTCACCTTCACAACACTTCATCACAATGGAAACATACCACGGCTTTGTGCGGACACCCGCAGACGCTATCAAGCTCTTCGAGGCTTGCAGACTCGGCCTCCTCCCTCGCGTCCAGCGCAGGTTATCAGAAAAGGAACGCCAGTCCATCCGATCCGGCTCGGTTTTTGTTTGGGACGAGAGGGAAGCAGGCATGAGGAGGTGGACAGACGGAAAGTCCTGGAGCGCCAGCAGGGTATCGGGAAGCTTCCTTACCTACCGCGAGATGGAGGGCAAGCGTGGCAGCGGCTTCGGCGGTGGCAGACGCGGTGCAGGAAAGACTCCCGACTCCGGCCGCGGTAGCGACGAGGACCAGGAGGATGGCGAGCCCGAGGGCTACAGATACAAGGCGGACGGTTTGATGAAGCAGTCATTCAGCATCACCACCTCGACTGGCCAGCACCTCCACCTCATCTCTTACTACTCCAGACCGCAACACGGCCAACAGGAGCTCCAGCAACCGAGCACCGATCCTTCTCTCAGGCACATCACCCCCATGAAGGGCATGTACCCCGAATCGAGCCTCCACGACAGCAACCCTACACCTGCTCTGACGAGAGGTCCTATGATGGCCCAGCCGCCTTTCATCCAGCAACATCCCCAACAACAGATGGCTCCTCAGCCTTACCCTCCTCAGTACGCCCAACAGCAGCCCGGCTACTCATGGCCTCCTTCGCCCGTGGCTACACCTCCCTACAGCCACTACACCACATCTCCCTACCCTCCTCAACAACCGCCTCAACACCACCTGCCGCCTCCTCAGGTCTCTCACGCGCCTCCCCCGGCTGCCCACTACTCCCACGCACCGCCGGTTCACCACCTCTCTCCCTACCACGACAGAGCGCCCCTGCCTCCACCAGCGGTGCAGAAGCCTCTGGCGCCTTACGCTCCTCAGCACCAGTCTCCTCGCCTCGCTCAGATCCAGGCCCCGCGCGCCTCCGAGTCTCCTCGCATCTCGCACCTGCAGGCCCAAGCAGCCCAGGCTGTCCTGATCGACCCGAGAATGCAGGGTGCTCGCGGCTCTCAAGGGCCCCTGCCAGGAGTCAACGCCGTTTCTGGTCCCCCCTCCACCAGCCACCCCATCACCCACACTCCTCCCAACAGGACGCTCTCCGTCTCGCCGCCTAGGAGCACTCACTCGGACACGAACGGCGTCACGGCCGCACCGGCGAATAAGGCCAGCCTGTCGGCCCTCCTGCTGCACCCCACCCCCTCCAACTCGGAGCCCAGCAGCGCCAACCCCAACGGCGTCAACAGCGCCAACAGCTCCCCGAGAACAGGAGGTGCCATCGCCGGCCTGCCGCCGCCGATGGACCGTCCCGCGGGCATGAGCCACGACGCCAAGGCGCTGTCTCTGCTGGATCGCAAGTTCTGCATCTAGCGGACGTCGCAGTATGAGAAGCCAAGCGTCTTGGACGCACCATTGCATTGTTATATTAGCCTGATTTGTTATTTTACTGCATCGCCACGGCGTACGGGAGTCGTTTAGACCAGCCGCTTTGGGCGGTCTCCATCAGGGGAATCATCGGAATCACCGATCACGAAATCGGTCTTTGTTTTTTTGTTTGCACGGGGACACTTGGACTTGCATCATGGACAGAAAATCAGGGGGGGAAGGGGTATTCCATCACCAGTAGTCTTGCGCGCGTTTTACAGTCATTACTTTTTACCCGTACATAGCTTCCACAGAATCACTGCCTCGACGCCGGAAAATACCGAGCGAAATAGACTGGCATTAACTTAACATCACGTTTTCTGTTGCGTCTTGGTGATATGTTTCCTAGCCAACTAAGGTACCAACGTTGCAGACCGGTTTCGATAGGAACCCACCGCGAACAGAGAAATAAAAAGACCTCAAAACGAAGCGGAAACCGAGGCGAACTGACAGGCGGAGCATGCCCACGCACGTCGATCGCGGTTTAGGTTTTTAGAGAGAAAAAGGGTCGCGTTAAGCATCAACCGCGCGTGCAACGGCAGGGTTGGACCTATGAGACGAATTTTTGGCCTGGGGGGAACATGTCAAGGGGGAGGATGATGTCGGCATCCACCCCGGTCTCTTGTTGGTGCAAGCAAGCAAGATGGTTTGGATTGGGCTTGGGATGCAGAATGCCAATGCTGGTTCGGTGGCCGAGGGACGAGATGGGCGCGCGGCCGCCGTGTGGAGGTACCGTTTTGGTAGGAGAGCTTAGGTAAGGCGAGGTAAGGTGAGGTTGGGCGGCGTAGTGTACCGACGACGACTGCCGATAGACGCGTGGATGAAACGGGCTCTCGTTCGAGGGTCTAGGTGTGGATGGGTGGATTGGGAGGTGAGGTCGTGTAACGGTTCTGGTGAGGATTTGACTCTAATCAGGTAAGGTAGGTGTACTAATTCTAAAAAAGCAGAGAGGAAATATCTCCGCAAATGATGAAGCGCCGAGGTAGACAGTCGTATCGAGCTGCGGACATTTTTTTTCTTGAGAAAAAAGGTTTGATACGGATTACTGCGTACGGTCCATACAGAGGAGACAAGAGACCATTTTCCCACATCGAATGTGGGAAAGAATAAGAAAAGGGACGTGTGGGAAAAAGGGGATAGGATGGATAAGTGTGGGAATTTTGCTTTGTGGGGCTACTGCGATGGATGAACGACCGTTCGGCGGCGGCAGGCAAAAGGCAGGGATATGGGCGGCTTAGTTGTGTGACCGTTTTTTAGGAGCACATTGGGGCTCTCTTTTGGTTTTGGACGGGATTTTTTTCAGCTGTTTCTTTTTTGCTCGAGGTTGGGTTCTAGTTTTGATACGAGCATGTCGTATGCGCCAGACTAAGTACCTTACAATAGGGATCTTATGGGGGAGATCTGCGGGCATGTGTGTGGTCTGGTCTATCTTGCATGTAAAGTTTGGTCCTTTTTTTGCCTCCATGTCCCCCCCTCGGCGAAGATCCGATTTTAAGGATTTGGATGATCAACGCTTGGGGTGTTAAGAAAAAGAAGGAGTTCTTTTTTTTCTGTGTGCGGTATGGCATCAGTGATCGTCGTTTGGATGTGGGATGAAGATGGATATGGGGAGGTTGATGGTAGGATGTTGCTTGTTGGATCGGAACGGCGTTGTCTTTCCGTCAGCGTGTATCTTTTCTGCTGCATAGGTAGTGAACGGTGATGGAGAAACGTGTGTGGGAACGTACCTACCTCACCCCCGCTGAGTAAGACGTTTGTGGACGAACGTGCGGCAGTATATCGTTGATGACAAAGGCATCTGTAAAAAAAGAGAGCGTACGAATACATCGTGTTCCAGGTGCGCAGCTTCCATGTCAAGGGGTTCGAACCTGATCCACTCTGGCTGTGTCAGTCGGGAAGCTTGATTCTCTCTCTCTTTTCCTTTCCCCCTTCGTTAACTGTGAGAGCGTGCTGGGTGAGAGTAAGTGATGCCTGTTCTTGTTCGAGGTTGCTGTCCGTCCATCATCCAAGGTCCCGCTGGCAGGTATGCGGTGTGGTTTGGATTGTGTCTCGGGGAGGCGCAGCGGACCTTATTTTTACGCATATTCCGGGGTCCTTGAGGGTTTGGCATGTATAGTTGATGATTTTATTGTTCTTTGGCAGATCTACTCCCGCTGCATTCTGGGTACCGTCAATGGACTGCTCTTTACGACTGCGGACATAAACAGCATAAGTCGAAGTTTGTGACGGAGACCATCATAGCTACTTGATATCATACACTGAGTCTGGAGTGATGCCCGCGGAGAAGACGCTTTTGCGGTATTCCGTCCGTCTCACATATCAGGGGCTCGGTTCCATATCCCATCGGACTTGAGATGGGCCACCTCCAGCAATTGGCACATTTTCGGCCGACGCAAGCATTCATCACATCAGTCCACTACACGGACTCGACGGCACACGCGATCGCTGCTGACAAAACCCCCTGGCCATTCTCCTCCTACTCTCCCCCATTTTTGCCGATCTTTTCGTCGTGTGTGAAGTGCAGCAATTATCAAAGGGGGGCAGGCAGGATCTCGTGGGTTTCAAGACGGAGTGCCGCGAGTTGGTTTCTCGGTTGATTGGTCTGAGCGGGCTCATGCCATGCCATGCCATGCAGCCGTAGCACGTTGCAGACTGGGCCAGCAGCAGCCCGTAGGCAGGTTTCGGCGGGTGGTCTCCGGCTAGCGTGCCGCGGAGTTGGGGCCGCTGGCGTATTGTTTATCCTGTGTTTGGGAGGTTTTGCCGATGCTTGTATTGTGCGTGTGGAGGTGTTCCGACGTAAGATGTTGGTGGTCGTGCGTTAGGTGGACATACATAGTACTGGCATTACTCGAGCGCTAGGATGGTGATGAGCTGTAACGACTAGTTGTAGCGGCTACTTTGTTTGACACGAGGAGACAACGTATTACTTTGTTGAAGTGTGGTGTTGTGATAGGATTAAGACGATTGGGTATTCTGCATTCACAGGAGAGCTTCGTACAGTTGTGAAGTTTTGGTTGATAGGAGTGCTGAGGATGGTCTGAAGGGATCTTGATTGTCAAATGTTAGGCTAGGAGTGGCTGTAACATCTGCAGGGTATTAGTGAGTGGTTGAGGGTCATGGACATGGAAGCATTGCACAGCAATACCAGCGCACTGAAGTTGTGTTTGCGCCAAACGACGATTTGCTTCCTGTTCTCCGTACAACTCTTTTTTTTAAGATGAGCTTATGAGTTGGAACATCATTGCCATATTATCAGTATATTGAAATAATTCTTGATATGTATCTTGCTCTTAAATATTGCAGTTACAGTGTTCGTTTGCCCCTGGCGACGTGATTCTGCCTCCAGGGGAAGCAGCTTCAGAAGCAACTGGAGGCTACAGCACACACAATAGAAGCCCCCTCTTCACTACGTGTATGTATTGTGTACTGAAGTTGAACCGTAGAATATGTGCTGTTCATCGACTGGATATTCACTGCAACGGCTTGCCCAGCAATGTTCCATTAGCTGAGCGAGATGGTTGATTTCAGCGACACTCATCATGTACAAATCTCCAAAGAGTTAGAAGCCTAGGTGATTGTCAGTCCACATAAAATCCTTCATCTATCTTCATGCTCAATATACACGTAATCTCCAAAATTACCGCCCTGAGCCACCGCCTGAAGCTGTCTGCATAATCACAGCGCTAAATGGATCTGCCGTTCACCAGCTCTGCAGGCGATCAGACCCCCGATGACGCCTCAGTAGAGCCATGAATAGCAAGGCCTTCCTGCCAAGTATCACTTAGACACAAGGGCGTGATTCCATCACGGTCATCTCGACATATTCCCAAGTAAACCCGTCACGATGTAAAGAAAGCGGATTGGATGCCCGGGCAGACAACTCCATCAAGACATCGTCTCGCAAGGCCCCGACGCCCAAAGCTACTCGGTGATGAGGCGTACGACTCAAGGGTTCCGTGCCTACAAGCGCCGTTTCAAGCGCACGAAGAAAAAAAATCCCCAGTTGCCATGATCATCAACTTCTTTTTTGGTGGTCTTTAAGACGTCCCCAGTATTTCGCATCTTGGGGCATCTTGACAGACACACTCCAAAAACTGCAGGACGACGCGAGAGAGACCCAGAAGTCTGGACGGAGCCAAGTCTCGTGTCGTTAGCTTGTTTGAGAGAATGCGCAACTCAAGCCGAGCTGGCAGCTTTGTCCACCGTCGCATTCCGTGGGCAAGGTGCGCTAGCCGCCGTGGATCTCTCTCTCTCTCTTCGCCTGCGCTCGCCCTCCTGAGACCTGGAGTGAGTGAGCGTCAATCGTCAATTCCTTCCCCTGGGTCCTGTTTTTTAATCAATTGGCTACAGGTAAGAGAGAACTTGGCTTTTGCCCCCCCCGCCGGGGCTCGCTCGCTGCCACGCGCTGCCTACCCAACGACGGTCGGCCGGCGGATTGGCACGCCCGCCAGAGCGTTTTCTTTCGTCAAAGCTTGCCTCGTTTGCGTTTTGAGTTGGGCGGGGATCGGCAAGGGGGCGGGCAGGGTAAACTTGCTTCAGATTGTGAGGGGGGAGGGATTTGGGTTGTCTTGGCGGGCCGAATGGCGCGGGACGGACGGCGTTTGGAGGGAAGGATTAGGAGAGATTTCGAAAATAAAGGAGGCTTGGCGGGCATGGTCCGTCGCGAAATGTTGCCCTCTGAGAAGGGGGAGAAGAGTGGATTTAACCTCATTGTTGCTATTCCTGTTGGTGGTGATGGCCTCTCTCCATTGGGCCTGCCAAGGAAGAGTTCGCCTTTTGCGTTGCAGCATTGTCAGTGTTGGAAACATTCCAGGGGAGTTCTCGGGGGCTGGTTCGTTGTTCGTTTCTTGGTATTTTGTTCGACGAGTCGTCGACTGGCGTCGACTGGGCGCTGGTTTGTGATAGACACACTTCGTGCTTGCTAGACGCCGGGCCAAGAACCTCGT